GGAAGAAATATTTCACGAAAGAAAATACAGAAATCAAACAGAGAAAGACATGTATCATATGATCTCATTGATATGAGGAATTCTTAATTGCAGGAAACAAACTGAGTGTTGTTGGAGTGGGGGGTGGGGTGGGAGGGATGGGGTGACTGGGTGATAGACACTGGGGAGGGTACGTGCTCTGTTAAGCGCTGTGAATTGTGCAGGACTGTTGAGTCTCAGATCTGTACCTCTGAGACAAATAATGCAAGATATGTTAAGAAAAAAAAAGAAGAAGAAGAAGGTAGCGGGAGGGGAGGAATGAAGCGGGGGAAATCGGAGGGGTGGACGAACCATGAGAGAAGATGGACTCTGAAAAACAAACTGAGGGTTCTAGAGGGGAGGGGGGTGGGAGGATGGGTTGGCCTGGTGGTGGGTATTGAGGAGGGCACGTTCTGCATGGAGCACTGGGTGTTGTGCACGAACAATGAATCATGGAACACTTCATCTAGAACTAATGATGTAATGTATGGGGATTAACATAAGAATAAAAAAAAATTAAAAAAAAAAAAAAGAAAATACAGAAATGAACACAGGAAGTAAGCAGTCAGTATGTTCAATATCATTAGTCATGGACATACAAAATTAAGACCACAATAAAATAGCACTACCTATCCATTAGAATGGCTAATAAAAAGATACTGATAACATCAAATGATTGAGAGGCCAGAGAGACGCTGTATCATTCACATCTTGCTAATATAAATTATTTGGAAGCCTCTTAAAAAGCTAACCACGACATGGTGACTCCCTCTGGCCAGGGAACTCAGTGTGAAGTTCTGCCTTTTTCAAGACCCCAAACAATGAGTACTGCTGGCCTTAGAGCCTGTTTTTGCCACCCTGCCTGGCAAGAAAGCTAATTCATAGCCCTGCTCACTGCTGAGTGCAGCCCCCTGCCCCATCCCATCAGGAAACCTGACCAGAGCATCCAGGAATCTGAGCAACTTAGCAGAACTTGAGAGGAGCACCTAACCAGGGTCTCTGCCCATCTGCAGACCCAGCTGGTGACCCCATCTGGCCAGGGAGCTCAGTGTGTTTTGCCTGATTCATGTCCCTGACTACTAAGTCTAACTGGCTGTGGAGACTATTACACAGCCCTTGCCCAGGCAGGGAAGCAAATCGAAGCCCTGCTTGGCACTGAATATAGCCTCCAGCCCTGCCCAACGAGCAAACCTAACCAGAACACCTGGGAAGCTGTGTAGCCCAACCTACAGCGAAGCTTACAACAGCACCTGAGTAGAGAGCCAAGCCAGCACCTCTTTCCATCTGCAGAGCAGAGCTGGTGGTACTGTCTGAACAAGGAGTTTGGTGGGCAGCTCTGCTGGATTCAGGTCCCCAACCATCAAGCTAAAGGGCCATGGAGCCAGTTTTACAATTCCAGTCAGGCAAGAAAGCAGATTCGTAGCCCTGCCTAGCTGTTGAGTATAGCACCCAGTCCTGCCTGAGTGGGAAGTTTAACCAGAGAATTCGTGCAGCCACAGAGCCCATCCCATAGCTTCACGTGGGCAGGAACCAACTGTTCTCAGCCAGAGGCACCCAGCCTGACCTCAGAGCTCAGGCAGCAGCCTTGCCCAAGTAGAGACCCTGATAGCAAGCCCCACCTGACCAAAGATGCTGCCTGCTGACCTGTCCAGAACCAAGCAGTGAATTGACTGGTGAAAGACCATTTCTGGAGAAGAGAACCAATAAAGTGTGGAAAAGGAAACTGCTTACTCAAACGTGCAGATACCAACACAAAGAATCAAGGATTGTAAAGAATCAAGTAAACAATGACATCATCATAGGAGAATACTAAAGCTCCAATAACTGACCCTAAAGAAATGGGAGATCTATGAACTGTCTGCAAATAATTCAGATTATTCCTCTTAAAAAGTTCAGTGAACTACAAGAAAACACAAATAACTAAACAAAATTAGGAAAAATGCATGAACAAAATGAGAAGTTCAACAAGAAATAGAAACAAAACAAAACAAAAAAGTAATCCTATAGTTGAAGAATCCAGGACTGACCTGAAGAATTCAATTGAGAACTTCAACAGCAGACTCCATCACGCAGAAGAATCAGTGAACTATAAAATAGGGCATGTGAAATTATCCAGTCAGAACAGCAAAAAGAAAGAATTAAAAAGAGTAAAGAAAGCATATGGGACTCATAGACACTATCTAAAGAACAATATGTGCATTGTAAGAATCCCAGAAGGAGAAAAGAGTGGGAAAAAAGAGCCAGAAAGTATTTAAAAACAATAATGGCTGAAAACCTCCCAAACATGAGGAGGGAAATGGATATCAAAGTAATGACACCCAAAAGACCCCAAATAGGTTGAATCCAAAAAGGGCTACATAGAGACACTATAATTGTCAAAAGTCAAAGACAAAGAATTTTGAAAGCAGCAAAAGAGTGACACATCACATACAAGGGACCGCCTCCCCTCCCATAAGACTATGGACAGATTTCTCAATAGCAACTTTTCAATCAGGAGAGAATGAGGTGATATATTCAAAGTACTGAAAGAGAAACAAAAACTGTCAACTAAATAGTATAGCTGGTGAAGTAGTCTTTCAGAAATGAATGAGAAGTAAAGACTTTCTCAAACAAATAAAAGCTAAGGGAGTTCATCACCATTACATCTGCCTTACAAGCAATACTAAAGGTAGTTTTTCAAGGAGAAATAAAATATGCTAATTAACATCATAAAATACACGAATGTTTGCAGAACTAACTGATAATGGTAAATATACAGTCAAAATCAGATTCTCTAATATTGTAATCATATTCTCAAATATGTAATTCATTTACAACTCTAGTTTAAAAGTTAAAAAATAAACATTAAAAATAACCATAATAATTTGTTTTTGGATACATAATACAAAATATATGTAAAATGAGGGGTGCCTGTCTGGCTCAGTCAATGGAGTATGTGACTCTTGACCTCAGGGTTGTGAGTTTGAGCCCCACATTAGGTGCAGAGATTACTAAAAAATAAAATCTTTAAAACACTATATATATATATATATATATATATAAACTGAAACATTAATAACCTAAACTGTGAGTGAGGGGAGAGTAAAAATTTAAAGTTTATATACTAGTAAAACTAAGTTATCAACTTAAAATAGAATGTTATAAATATATTTTATGTTAACATCATGGTAGCCAAAAAGGAAAACCCTGTCGTAGTCACATAAAAGTTTATGATAAGGGGCGCCTGGGTGGCTCAGTCGTTAAGCGTCTGCCTTCAGCTCAGGTCATGATCCCAGCGTCCTGGGATTGAGCCCCACATCGGGCTCCCTGCTCTGCGGGAAGCCTGCTTCTCCCTCTCCCACTCCCCCTGCTTGTGTTCCCTCTCTCGCTGTGTCTCTCTCTGTCAAATAAATAAATAAAAATGTAAAAAAAAAAAAAGATTATGATAAAAGAATGATAAAATATTGCTACAAAAAATCATCAAACCTCAAAGAAGCAAGAAAGTATCTACTAAACAGTCAGAACACAGTTAACAAAATGGCAATAGTAAGTCTTTACCTATTAATAATTTAAACATAAGTGGATTAAATTCTCCAATCAAAAGACATAGGATGGCTGAATAGATAAAAATACAAGATCCAATGACATGCTGCCTACAAGAGACTCCCTGTAGCTTTAAAAACACATGTACACTGAGAGTGAAGGAATGGGAAAAAATATTTCATGCAAATGGTAACCAAAAGAAAGCAGAGATGCTATACTTATAACAGATAAAAGAGACTTTAAAAATAGTCAAAAGAGATAAAGAAAGTCCTTATATAATGATAATGGAGTCAGCCCATTAAGATTATATAATTGTAAAATGTTTATGCACCCAATATCAGAGCACCTAAATATAGAAAGCAAATACTAACAGAAGTGACAGAAATAAATAGCAATAAAATAATAACTGGAGACTTTAATATCCCACTCAACAATGGGATCAGAGAATCAGTAAGGAAACAGTGGATTTGAACAACATTATAAACCAAAAGGACCTACGTGGCATATACAGACACAGAACGTTTTGTAGGACAGAGCAAATGTTAGGCCACGATACAAGTCGTAGCAAGCAGAAGAAGACCGAAATCACACCAACTATATTTTCCAGCAACAATCATATGAAAGCAGAAATCAATAATGGGAAAATTTGCAAATATATGAAAAAAAAATTTTTTTTTAAAGATTTTATTTATTTATTTGAGAGAGAGAGAATGAGAGAGAGCACAGGAGAGAGGGGAGGGTCAGAGGGAGAAGCAGACTCCCTGCCGAGCAGGAAGCCCAATGCGGGACTCGATCCAGGGACTCCAGGATCATGACCTGAGCCGAAGGCAGTCGCTTAACCAACTAAGCCACCCAGGCACCCGAAAAAAATTTTTAAAAAATATTTTATATATTTGAGAGAGAAAGAGCGAGAAGAGAGGGAAAGGGAGCATGGAGCCAGGAGAGGGGCAGAGGAAGAAGCAGACTCCCCCTGAGCAGGGAGTCCAGTGTGGGGCTGGATCCCAGGGCCCTGGGATCATGACCTGAGCTGAAGGCAGACACTTAACCAACTGAGCCAGCATTACCATGATATCAAATTCAGGTAAGGCCACTACAAAAACAAGACAAAACAAAAAAAAAAACCTACAAGCCAATATCCCTGATGATTATAGATGCAAAAAGTCTCAACAAAATTCTAGCAAACTGAATCCAACAGCACATTAAAAGGATAATACACCATGATCAATTAGGATTCATCCCTAGGAGGCAAGGGTGAATGAACATGCAAATCAATAAATGTAATTTACCATATTAATAAAAAGATAAAAATCATATGATCATCCCAACAGATGGAGAAAAAAACATTTTAAAAATCCAACATCCATTCATTATAAAAATTCTCAAATAACTGGGCATAGAAGGAAAGTGGGCATAGAATTCTCAAATAATAAAAGGCCATATATGACAAACCCACAACTTACATCAAACTCAACGGTGAAAGGTTGAAAGGTTTTCCTCTAATATCAGGACCAAGAGAAGGTTGTCCACTCTCACCACTATTCAACATAGTACTGGAAGTTCTAGCCAGAGCAATGAGGCAAGAAAAACAAATAAATGGAATCAGAACTGGAAAGGAAAAAAGTAAAATTGTCTTTGTTTGCAAATAATGTTTTATATACAGAAAATCCTAAAGACCGAACCAAAAAAAAAAAAAGTAACAACTAATAAATGAATTCAGTAAAGCTGTAGGATACAAAATCAACATACAAAAATCAGTAGTATTTCTATATACTAACAAATTAAAATTTAAAATAAAGAAAACAATCTCATTTACAATAGCATCAAAAATAATAACATACTTCGGAATAAATTTAACCAAGTAGGTCAAAGACTTATAAACTGAAAACTATAAAACATTGATGAAAGAAATTGGAGAAGACATGAATAAATGGAAATATACCCTGTGTTCATGGATTGGAAGAATTAGTATTATTAAAATGTCCATATTACCTAAACCCCTCTGTGAATTGAATGCAATTGCTATCAAGATACTTAAGGCATTTTTCATAAAAATAGAAAAAATAATCTTTTTTTTTTTTTAAAGATTTTATTTATTTATTTGAGAGAGAGAGAATGAGAGACAGAGAGCATGAGAGGGAGGAGGGTCAGAGGGAGAAGCAGACTCCCTGCCGAGCAGGGAGCCCGATGCGGGACTCGATCCCGGAACTCCAGGATCACGACCTGAGCTGAAGGCAGTCGCTTAACCAACTGAGCCACCCAGGCGCCCCTAGAAAAAATAATCTTAAAATTCATATAGAACCATCTACACAGCCAAAGTAATCCTCCAATAGCCAAAGTAATCCTGAGAAAGAACAGCAAAGCTAGATACATCACACTTCCTGATTTTTTAAAAAGATTTTATTTACTTATTTGAGAGACAGCACGCACGAGAGAGCACAAGCAGGTGGTGGGGGGGGCGGGAAGAAGAGGGGGAGAGGGAGAAGCAGACTCCCTGCTGAGCAGGGAGCCTGATGTGGGGCCCGATCCCAGGACTCCAGGATCATGACCTGAGCTGAAGGCAGGTGTTTAACTGACTGAGCCAGCCAGGCGCCCCCACACTTCCTGATTTTAAATTATATTACAAAGCTATAGTAATCAAAACAGTATGGCACTGGCATAAAAACAAGCACATTGACTAATGGAAAAGAACTGAGAGCCTAGAAGTAAATTCACACATAAATGGTCAACTCTTATTTGACAAGCAGGCCACGAATACTCAATGGTGAAAAGATAGTTTTTTCAATAAATGGTGTCGGGAAAATAAGATATTTACATGCAAAAGAATGGAACTAGACCCATCTCTCACACCACTCAAAACAATTAAGTCAGTTAAAGACTTAAATGTGAGACCAGGAACCATAAAACTCCTGGAAGAAAAGTAGGGAATAAGCTCCTTGACACTGGTAATAGCAATGATTTTCTTTTTTTTTTTTTTTGGATATGACACATAAGGCAAAAGCAACAAAACAAAAAATAAACAAGTGGGACTACATCAACGACAAACTTCTGCACTGTAGAATAAGTGATCAACCAAATGGAAGAGCAGCCTACAGACTGGGAGAAAATATTCTCAACCTGCACATCTGATAAGGTGTTAATATCCAAAATATATAAGGAACTTCTAGAACTCAATAGCAAAAAAACCTCCAAATAATCTAATTAAGAATGGGCAATGCACATGAACAGACATTTTCCCAAAGCTATTCAAATGCCTAACAGGTACATGAAGTGGTGCTCAGTGCCACTAATCATCAGGAAAAGGCTAATCAAAACCCCGAGATACAAACTCACACTTGTCAGTATGGTTTTTGTCAAAAAGATGAGACAGCAAGTGCTGTTGGGGGATGTGAAGAAAAGGGAACCTTGTATAGTTTTGGTGTGAATGAAAACTGGTGCAACCAATATAGAAAATAGTATGGAGGTTCCTCAAAATTTTAAAATGAAACTACAATATGATCTTACCAATTCAACTTCTAGGTATGAATTAAAAGGAAACAATCACTTGTCCTGAAGAGGTATCTATCTGCCATATTCACAGCAGCATATTCACGATAGCCAAGATAAGGAAGCAACTTAAGTGTCTGTAGATTGATAAATGGATGAAGAAAATGTGAAATACACACACACACACACGGAGCATTAGCCATAAAAAAGAAGGAATCCTGCCATTTGCAACAGCACAGATGGACCCTGAGGGCATTATGCTAAATGAAATAATAAAGACAAATACTGTAGAATGTCACTTATATGTGGAATCTTGAAGAAAAAAAAAAATCCCATGGAAACAGAGAACATGTTGTTTGCCAGAGGGGCTGGGGGATGGGGGAACTGAGTGAAGGAGATGAAAATGTACACATTTCCAGTTCTAAGAGTTAAGTTCTGGAGATGTAATGTACAGCACGATGACTGCAGGTAACAATGCTGCCTTCTATATTTGGATGTTGCCGAGAGTAAATCTTAAAAGCTATCAGCAGAAGAAAAAATTCTGCAAGGTGATGGATGTTAACTAAACTTATTGTGGTATTCATTCCATAATATTTACAAATATCAAATCATTATGTTGTACACCTAAAATTAACATAATGTTATATGTCAATCATATCTCAATTAAAATGGGGGGACTAAACACCAATTATATTACCCAATCATCACTGATGTGAGCACATTTATCCTAGAGAAATACAAATCTGTATATGGTTTTCCATAGCACCTACAGTTGTGTCGTCAAAAACTGTAAACATCCAAAATGTTGCTCAGTATATGGATGAGTGAGTATACAAACTGTCGTCCCTCCATACCATGGAATACTACTCACCATTAAAACGGAACAAACCACTGATGTACATCACAACTTAGATGAATTTCAAGAGCATTGGATAGTGAAAAAAGGCAATCTCAAAAGGCCACATACTGTATGTTTCCACTTCTAGAACATTCTTGAAATGGCAACATGATAGAGACGGACACAGATTAGTGGTTTCTAGGGACTGAGGAATGTGGTGGGAGGTAGAGGGGCGGGAATGCATAAGGGAGACTTTTGCAGTGATCTGTTAATAAATTGTGACTTGATTAGTTACAGGGATCTATACATGTGATAAAATGACATAGGACTGTCCCCACACAGGGCACCAATGCCAAGTTCCTGATTTTGATTTTGGGCAATAATTATGTAAGATGTAGCCTTGGGTGAAGGGCATGTGGGACCACTTTATACTATTTTTGTAACTTCCTGTATGTATGTGATTATTTCAAAATAAAAATTAAAGACCATGAAATATAAATTCAATTTACAAACTGTTTTGATATCCCAGTTTTGTTCTTGTTCAAAACACTTAAAAAATGCAAAGGAAACGTTTTCTTTTTTAGTGTAAGTAGTTCCTCAGTTGTTTTTTTTTTTAAGATTTATTTATTTATTTATTTATTTGGGACAGAGAGAGAGAGCACAAGTGGGAGGGCAGCCATATATAGAGAAACCCAAGCAGACTCCACACCCAGTGTGGAGCCCAACCCCATGACCCAGAGATCACAACCTGAGCCGAGATCACGACCTGAGCCAAAATCAAGTCCGATGCTCAACCAACTGAGCCATCCAGGTGCCCTGTTCCTCAGTTTTTAAAAAAGAAGTTGAATGTAAAACAAAAAAACTAAAAGGTACTCAAACCTGAGACTTTCAAAAGGATAAAAACTGTATTTCTGCATAGTGACATAAGTCTTGAGGAAATAAATTTGAGAAACTTCAACCACAAACACGTTTTAATTAACTTTATTATCATTAAAAATATGTATTGAATTTGGATCTTGTGTTGGATTAAGTCACTTTTGAGGCTCACTGTTCATTGAACCCAATGATGGAGGTATAAAGTAATTCTTATTTCTAGAAATAGTAACAAAAAGCAGACTTTTCTAGAAATTTTTAAGTGTCGGAGCACCTGGGTTGCTCAGTTGCTCAGTTTGCATCTGCCTTCAGTTCAGGTCATGATCCCTGGGTCCTGGGATTGAGCCCGGAGTCGGGCGCCCCACTCAGCAGGGAGCCTGCTTCTCCCTCTCCCTCTTCCCTGGCTTTGTGTGCACTTGCTCTCTCTCTCTCTCGCTCTTTCAAATATAAAAGTAAAATCTTTAAAAAAAAAAGAAATGTTTAAGTATCCCCAAATAAGTATTCTCAAATATATTAGAGTCATATATACGTATTCACTTTTATGAAGCTGTTAAAAGATAAAGCCTGCCATGTATTTCATTCTGTATATTCTATGCAGAATGAAAAATTCAAGAAGCTGAAATCTTCATTTCTTAAATTTGGTTGGAGTAAATCTGTACTCACAGTAGTAGTGTATTTTGCAAATATCAAAGAACTCAGGATTTGGAGCTGAAAGAATAGGGTCCTAAATGACCTGTCACTATACTGTGACCCCTATGGAGGCTCTCTGAGGCTTTAGCTTCCTTGTGTGCAAAGTGGACACACCAATACACCATAGTGTTGTGATGCTTAAATTACATCATAAATACTAAATTAATATTGTCAGGTGGTATATCAATATTAATGGTTAAACTCAGTAGTAACATGTACTTAGTAACGTTATTAATTGTTAAAACAATTCTTAAATCTTGGTAAAAGATCTGTAAAGCAATTTTTTTCTTCACATATTATGCAAAATCAGTATATTTCATTAATTTTAAGACACATTTTTTCACACTAAACGTATCTGAAATTGACAGGTATCTCGTAATTGCTTTTGGCCAGGTAGTGACATGACATATTGTCCCTACATGCATCACACTGCGTATCAAAACGTGAAGAATGAGTATCCGTATCTTAAAAGATAGCCCTGGAGATAATAATGGATACTCATTTAAGAAATGAAGCATCACTAATGCCCTTGATAACAGAGAATGATACTACGTGGAAAAACACGGACATCAAGATTCTGAGTTGACAGTGAATTCAAAGCATTGGACTCTGAACGTGAAAAAGTTTTAAGAGCATCTCAGCTAATTTTGCTTATGTTTTTCTTCTTATGTGTGTACAGGGGTGATATACAAAATTTTTAAAAGGGCTTTCCTTAAGTACGAAAAATACCAAGCAATAAGGAGTTGTGTCGTAGTTAAAAATGGCATTGTTTTATTTCTTCGAAGCACATAAGACAGTGGTGTATTTTGTAAGACTGCACCTCAGCGTCAGCAAAACTCCTTTGTGCTCAAAATGTTGCATCAATTTTTAAAACTATTGTCTTGTTCTTCCTTTTCATGTCTTCCATTAAAATCTGCTTTAAGTAATTGAATCAATAAAAGTTCAACCATCAAGTCAGACAAGATTGATATGAAGTAATGACAGAAAACGCATGCGCCACTTGACAGGAGTGGAATATTCAACCAAGGCTGTGCCGTGACCGTTCTGGGCTTTGATTCCATCAGGCTTCCCAGTGATCTGAGTTTGGTCCCTGGAATTTCAAATTAGAGCATGACTTCTGGCCTGTTCTAATTAATATTGGTCACAGACTGCCAACTGTACACCAGGGATGGAGTTAGGGAAGCGTGGAGGAAAGAGGCAGACGTGATCCTTGCTTTCCTGGTGGTCCTATCTAGTGAGGAAGACTGACAAATTAGACATTGTTCTAAATACTGTGAAGAAACAGCTGGGAAAGGGAACAGAAATGAACAATGGGGGATACTCAACTTCAGGGAGTAACAGTGGTAACATTTGCATAGGGCTTCCTCTGTACTGTGGGCTTCATATACTCTTGAATCTTCAAAAGAAGTGTGTAAAAAAGATACTGCTCCTGTCCGCACTTCATAGGAAGGGGAACTGGGGCTTTGAGACGTTACACAATTTGCTCAAGGTTATATGGCAGGTAAGCAGGGACCTGGACCAGGATGGTGTGGCTCCCGAGCTTTTGCTCTCATTCACCACAGTATCAAGGAGCGTCTTTCTTTCTTTTTTTTTTTTAAAGATTATTTATTTATTTATTTATTTATTAGAGAGTGAGCTGGAGAGAAACAGCATGAGAGCGGAGAGGGTCAGAGGGAGAAGCAGGCTCCCCGCTGAGCCGGGAGCCCGATGTGGGACTCGATCCCAGGACTCTGGGATCATGACCTGAGCTGAAGGCAGTTGCTTAACCAACTGAGCCACCCAGGCGCCCAAGGAGCGTCTTTCTGAGCAGGTGTCATTTAAGTGGACACCTGAATGATGACAAGGTAAGAAGTTGGGGGGAGAACCCATGTAGAAAGCCCTAAAGTGGGAAGGAGTTCTTCATTTTGAGGACATGAAGGAAGGCCAGCATCACTGGAATTCAGTTGATGAGAGAAGAAGTGGGGGAGGTAGGGGTCCTGGCAGGTGCCACGTCTTGCGGGACCCGACAGGCCACAGGAGCTGGAATTCCATTCTAAGTGCAGCTGGAACCACAGACGACTGCACTGGGCAGTGACATGATCTGATTTATTTTTTTTAAATATCCTCCTGGCTGATGTGTGAAGAATTAATTAAAAAGAGGTAAGAGAAATAGAGTCCAAGTTATTCATTTATTCAATAAATATTAGAAACTTTACAGAGTAGCTATTACTTTGGCAAGCAGCACTATTCTAGATACTGGGCATATAGCCACTAACAATGGAGACGGGGTCCTCCACTCTGGAGTACACTCTAGAGTACTGTGCACACATGCGAGCACCCACCCACCCACACAACTACCCCCTCTCCTGCACCAACACGTTCTCCCACTCCACTGGACAGATTCCATCAGTGGACACATTTTAGTATCTCCCACCTTTAGACATCAAACAAAAACCTGTCCTTTGAACTTTCATTACCCTCTAGTGACCAGCCCCTTTTTCCACTCCCCGACCCAGGAAGTCTGTAGTAGCTTTCCGTCCAGTCGCCATCTGAGCACACTACCGTCCAGTCCTCTCTTACCCTACGACCCTGCAAGCTGCTGAGTCAGTATCACCACGCTGTGCTCTCGTCTGGCAGTCAAATGCTAACTTCTCTCTCCACATTCTAGTTAACTTCTCAGGAGTACTCGTGTTGCTAACTAGTCCCCCCTTCTTGAAACACGCATCTCTAGTTTCTGTGGCACAATACTCTTCAGGATTCCTATCTTGCCGGCCTCTCCTACCCAGTCTACTCAGGAGCCCATATAGTGCAGTGATTGAGGGCACGGACTCGGAGACCTAGCTCTGAAGACAGGCTGCTTCAAGAGTGCTTATGGCAGGGAGGACTCAGGAAAACAATGTTCCCCTTTCTCCTGCAGGCTAGAAAATGAATCATCCTTGCAGGTGAGACAGGATCGTGGTTTAGACCAGAGTGTTAACAATGGAGATAGAGAAATATAGGTGGATTTTAGCTCTAGTTTAGGAGCAGAACCAATAGAATGGAGAATAGGACATACAAATTGAGGGACAAGAGGTAAAAAGGTTTCTTTCTTGGGTAACTGGTAGAATTAAAGAAATATTTATTAAAGTCTTGAAAAGTTAAGCTTTGCAATGGAATAAAGTTTAAGTTGTGACCTAAAAAAAGGTTAATGAACATTATCTCTTCCACCCCCCCCCCCCACAAATCAATAAAACTTAGAGGATTTCATCTGATGCTTTTCCACTGAAATTGAAACCTGGGAGAGGTTATGTGATTTACCCAAAGTCACACAGATAGCTGGTGGTGGAACTGGAAAAAGAACACAGATTGCTCAGAATTCACTAAGAAGCGATAGATCAGGAGCTGGCAAGATGACTATCACTCACAAGCTTGCTGAACGTCTAACACTTCAGTCCTCTTTTTCCCCTGACCAATGCAATAAAAAATATCATAATAAAATGTTTGGGCTTACTGAATAAGTTAGGCACACTTTATATTTCCTTAAGGAAAAAAACTGAGGGAAGTAAAGGTAGACAGAATATAAATACCAATGTTAGCTTATAAAAGGAGTAAAATCTATTGTAAAAGTTCATCAAAACATTTGTATACTCTTTGTAAAAGGTAAGGTATGCATTAAATTCCCTCTCAAGTAGTTTACATTCTAATTTGCAAGGTAACACACATACAAATAATTCGGGATAATAGATGTCATAAGGCAGTATAAGAATAGTTGCCAAATGAATTAAATAGAGAATATTAAAAAACATACTCTGGGGTTGTCCTTAAGAAAAGGTGAGGTTTGCCCTAAGCCTTAAAGGACAAGTAAGAATTTACAAAGTAGACAAGGAAGGGGATTCCATTAAACAAACCTAAAAAGAATGTCCACTAGTACCAGGGATGGAAGGGAGTGGGGAGAGTGAGCTTTTTTAGACTTCTTGTACAGAGACATTCTCTTAGGTATGACATTTGAGCCGAGACCTGAATGACACAGAGGAACAAGAAATGTGATGACTGGAGGAGAGAATATTCTAGGCAGAGGGAACAAGGATGAATGGCCACCACATCATCTGTCTACGAGGCTCCACACAGAATACACAGAGCTTACTTCAATGCTACAAGAATGAACTATGCCTAACCCTGTGTTGAAGTAATTCCACAAATTTCTCTCTTATCTCGGATTCTCCATCAGTAACAATAATTACTAACTGCACAGAACATGTGACAATGTACCTGGAAGTGTTTTGGAAACAGAAAATGGAGTGAAATTAGAAAAATCAGTTCAAAAAGACAAGAATGGCGAAGTTACCATACGATGCTCAGATACATAAAGTTAAAAGTGGAGAACGGAGTTGGGATCATCGGTGATACGAGTATTAGTAGATGCTTATACTTTACGTACCTTCCCATTTTCACTTGCTGCGGGTTTTTGGTACATGTTCTCTTGGCCTTGCCAGATTGTAAGCTCTCTGCAGGTGGCAAGCAGATCTTACACAGGGCCCCTGACACAGGCTTTTGGTAAGTACTACCCAAGTTGATCTATCCAGACACTAATTTGTGTTACGTGTGCGTTGTGTGTTCAAAATCCCACCTACCTGCAAAGGACTGGAAGGGGATCATGATATGAGGAAGTTAACGGAAACAAGCATAGATGAAAACAGACTAGAAGCCATGGTAAAGAGGGTGGAAATAACCCTTAGGTCGCTGTGTGACTTACTCCTGCTGGCCCTCGGCCGCGTGCCCCGGCCGCCGGAGGACGGAGGAGCCAGCTAATCTCAGCGGATGGCATTTCCTCTCCCGCAAAGTTGGGCACTGCCATGGCTCTGCAGAGGCCAGTACCCGCAGGGGCTCTGGTCACGAGGGCTTCCCCAGAAGAGCCCCCCAGGGCCCCCAGGGTCCCCCAGAGTCCCCCCGAGGCATCCAGACGGCCCTCGGTCAGGCCTGGGAAAACAACCGAGCAAAGGCACCGAGCCCCCGGGGAAGGCTGCTGAGCCAAGTGCGCTCCGCCGCGTCCCGGGCCGCCGCATGGCCGCAGCGAGGGGTCCCGGGGCCGGCGCGGAGGGCAGGTCGGGGCCGCCGCGGGGCACAGCTCCGGGGGCCCCGAGCGCCGAGCTCCCCGCCGCCGACAGCCCTCCCCGCCCCCGCACACGGACGATCGAGCGGCGGCCGAAGCCCCGGGGGTCCCCTCCTCCGCGGGCCCCCCATGCACCAGGCGCCGCCATCCCACTCCTCCCTCAGACCCCAGAGCTCACCCACCTGCAACTGCAGTCTCCGAAGTCTCCACCCTGGCCTCGCTGCTCCGCAGGCCTGACTGCGATTGGCCTGGACCGCTGTCCCGTTAGCGCTTCTCCGAGCGTGACTGGCGTAACTACGGGGCTCTCGGCCTTGGTCCCTCCCCCTGCCCCCGAGGCCCCGCCCCTCGTGACGTCACGAGCTGTCGCAGAGCGCGGAGCGCAGAGGCGGGCCCCCGTCTCCGCCCCTAGCCGATCTCTCCCAGAGCCGGCGGCCGGGCCCGGGAAGCGAGCGCCCCGGCGGGCGGGGCGTCGTGCGCGCCGCCGT